TCAGGTCTCAGCCTCCTGAGTTACTATTACTGTAGGTGAGCCCAGCTGGAGTATATGTTTGTATGGAGACTTCATTCTATAGATAGGATTGAGATGCATAGAGATCTGATTGGACAAGAAGGGAGTGATTTCATGTTAATAGTCAGGGCTGGGAAATTCAACAAGGCCTTGTTGTTTCTGCAACATTTCTTACTCAGAAGGTAATGATTAGGACCTACTTCTCACATGCAGGTCTTGTGACCTGCTTTTGGGTATAATAGGTTAGAGAGGTTTTTTTTTTTTTTTTTATGGATAGCAGCTGTAAGAAAGGAAGATGAAGGATTACTTTATATAACCATCCTTGGGGAAAAGAATCCTAGGTTCTGAGACCTATATGAGGGAGGAAAAAGAGGCCAGGAGATTAAAAGCATACATGTATAGCATGATCTCTACCTTTTGAATTTGGACTCAGTTCATTTTATGTCCACACCAACAAGGTGTGGCTGAAATGAAAATAGTGGTGTGGTACCTCTAAACCTAGCATTCAAACAGACGTGCTCACTCTTTCTCATTAACTTGGATCCCTGAGCTGTCATGTGAACAAGCCTAGGCCAGCCTGCTGGAGTATGCAAACCACCTGGAGCAGCTTGTGTAGACCATTGAGACTTGCTCAGAGGCCAGCTAACTTGTCACCTGACAGCAGACTCATGCAAGAGTAGCTGAGATCAGCTTGGATGACTTAGAGAAACTGCCCAGTATACCCACAGTCTCTTGGAAAATAACATATCACAACAATTATTTGAAGCCACTGAGTTTGGAGGTGGATTCTTAGGAGAAATAAGAGCAACAGCCAATAATGGCATAAATCAATAATATCTTGATAGAATGGGCCTACAAGTATAGTGGTGTGCTTTTTTGCATGTTTTTTAAAATAAATTAATTGTACAAAGGAGTTTCTTTGCAACCTTTGTATAGATTCACACAATATACTTTGATCAAATTTACCTCTTTTATCACCTTTTTTTTGGGGGGGGAAGGGGTGGTCATGAGGCTTGAACTCAGGGCCTGGGTGCTGTCCCTGAGCTCTTCTGCTGAAGGCTACTACTCTACCACTTTGTGCCACAGTTCCACTTTTGGTTTATGAGTGGTTAATTGGAGATAAAAGTCTCATGGGGACTTTTCTGTCCAGGCTGGCTCTGAACTCAGATCTCAGCTTCCTTAATAGTATTACAGGTGTGAGCTACCAGCACCTGGCTTCATTACTCTTTCTTAACCTTCTTCCAGCTCCCTTTAAAAATAGTTGTTAGTGGATTTTCTTATATTATTTTCATACATGAAGGGCTCTGAGGTTTAAAAAAGAGGATTTTCTCATATAACAAGAAATAAGTTCTCTCTGGGCATAGACCTGAGTTGAGGCAATATGGCCAGATGCACCAAGAAGGTGGGCATCGTCTATAAATTTGGCACCAGCTATGGTGCCTCACTCCAGAAGATGGTGAAAAAATTGAAATCAGCCAGCACGCCAAGTACACCTGTTCCTTCAGTGGCAAGATCAAGATGAAGAGGAGAGCTGTGGGAATCTGGCACTGTGGTTCCTGCATGGAAGCAGTGGCTGATGGTACCTGGACCTACAATACCACTCCTGATGTCACAATTAAGTCGCTAATAGAAGACTGAAGGAATCAAAAGACCAGTAAAAGCTCCACCATCAGAGATATCCCTACTGCACAATAAATGGGTTAATTTATATAACAACAACAACAACAACAAAGGAAATAAGTAGGCTTTTTTGGAGCTGGTGCAGTTGCTCAAGGAATTTATCAAGGATGCAGGCTCTTTTCTTTTTCTTTCTTTTTTTTTTGATGGGAACAAATACCATTGTGTAGAAAGTAGACTTCTTATCACATTTCACTGGCTAGAACTCTGTCACATACCTAGGTGCAAAGAGCCTGGGAAATTGACTTAAAAAAAAAACAAACCAAGGTGAATTACATCCCCTGAAATGAATAAAAATTTTGTTACAAAGCAAAAACAGGAGTATTTAGGCACCAGCAGCCTCTGCACTCTGATTTGGTGAAGGCATCTTATTTGAGGAAACAATCTGAAAGAAAAATAATCGATATATTTGGCATAGATTATGAGGTAGTACTGTACAGGGGAAAGGCATTGTTGTATGTCTCCCAGGCTGAGCTCTGCAGCTGACAACTCTTGATTTCTCCCCCTTTACATCAACATACCGGAGAGAATGACGGGTAAACCTTTGGAGAACCTGTGGACACTGTGTACGAAACTTACATTTGTGACAGATTCCCTTTTAGGCTTCCCAACAGAACAACGAGTTGATGTTATGTTCTCCCGGGGATAACATGCTAAAATCTCGGAGAGAACAGATCTATATCCAGGGACTGGCAGAGCTAGAATTCTAAGGAGAGGCTGAAGGCCTCCCAAAGAAGAGGTTTCTATGGCTCAACCCTTTTTTTTTTGTCCAGTCGTGGGCCTGAACTCTGGGCCTGGGTACTGTCCCTCAGTTCTTCAACTGAAGCTTGCGCTATACCACTTGAGCACCACTTCTGGCTTTTTCTGCTTATGTGGCACTGAGGACTCAAACCAGGGCCTCATGCATGCAAGGCAAGCACTCTACCACTGAGCCACCTTCCCAGCCCTATGGCTCAACCTTTTTAAAAAGACAAATAGACTTATTCACTTTATTTTGAATTATAAAGCCAGTGTGTTTTGAAGTGGGCCCAGTGTTCTGTGAAGCAAAATTACTGAGAAGTTGCCTACAAATGCTGATTCCTGCACTGCCTCCGGGGAACCTGAAGCCAGAATCTAGGCCCAACACCAGAAAAGTCCCACAGTGTGGGACGTGGGGGGAAGACGCGCCGGGGAGGAAGTCTGAAGCCACAGCTTACAAAACAGCGAGCCATGATTTTAAACTTAAAATTTATTGTTCCATTTTAACATAGATTATGTATTTATGCCTCATGAAAATTTCCTCCTCATATCAGGAAGACAAATTTTTTAAAAATAGTCTGTTTCTCCTTCCTGTCTCTTAGTTTCCTAGTGAACACACTGAATTCCACGGAAAATGTTAAGGACCCAGAGGTGTGTCATCCAAGAGATCTATCTTCCTGTTGATTAGCATAGTTTCTATAAGGCAAAGGCAGGGATTCAAACCAAAGTAAATTCTGACTAGAATCATCCAGAACTGGAAGAGGATGGCAAAGGAAATGACACTGTTTACTATGTTCCAGACACAATTCCAGACATATTGTATCATTAAAGGACCCAAGAGATGCGATTCAATTCCTTTTACTTATAAAGGGGATAGGAGTCATTCTCAGTACCTTCTGAATGATGATGAGAAATACCTTTTGAGATCAACCATCCTTTCATTTCATTCATTCATTCCATTAAAAAGAAAAAAAGGTCTCCTAAGCTTTTAACTTATGCAAGACACTACGAGAAGGAGCAGCAAAAGGGCAATTGAGTTTTCAGATGTAACAAGGCCAACCAACTCTCCTTTGAAGCCACCTGGGACTAACAAGATTGGGGCTGGAGCCTTCCAGAAGCAGTCTGTCTGACCTCCATGGGCTTGAGCCAGGAGCCCACTAGAGCCCCAGAGAGCAACTCCAAAAGGTTAAGCGACTTGCTCAAGTAAGTAACCCAACCAGGAAGGGGCAATAGCACAGCCCTCAGACCCCAGCTCCAACTCCCTTTCCAGCTCAATGAAGTCTTCCAAGCTGGAGAAAATGCTCAGCAAGTAGTTTTAAAGTCTTTTATCCATCCATACGCGAGTGCTGCTACCCAGCTTTATTTAATTCCAGGCTCAAAGCACACAGAAAATAATTTTCTTTTTCCTTAAAAGGTTCTGCGGAAAGAGAAAAAAACCACTCATTCTCTGCGCCTCTGCAGCAGCCTCGGTGTGGCTGTGTTTGTGTCTGTAGAAAGGACTCGTCTGACAGGAAGAATTACAAATCTGGAGCTCGTTTTGGCATCCCAGAGGAGGTGGGCGGAGCGTCTCACAGTAAATTGGCAATTCAGAATGAAACGTAGTGTATTTGGGTTTTTTAGTGACACCTCAGAATTATTACACGGGCGTGTCCAAGACAGTTTGAAGTGATGATGATTGCTCTCCCTCAGCCTAGAGGAGCTGGTTGCTCAGTAGAGGTGTGGGGGGGGGGGGTAGGAAGGGGGGGTCTTCTTCCTTTAAGGTGTGTGGGACTCTCGAGGTCCAACCAGGTTGTGGACGGGTTAGGAGGGAAGCTTGGATCCCCACTTTGGGATTGTCCTGGAGAGGGGGAGTCTACCTGGTGAGGGGGTGTGTCGAGCTCATGGTATTGGGAGTCTGAGGCTGGGATCTGAGAACTTTGGGCCTGGATTTGGGGGACGTGGGCAAGGTTTGGGATGGACGTTGACAGCAGGAAGAAACAGGGGACCGGGTCACCTGTCTCGATGGGGGTGCTGGAAAGTTGAAGCGCGGCTCTGGGGAGGGCAAGTCGCAGCAGATGCCCGTCCGGACCCCAGTGTGTGGATGTGGGGTGGATGTGTTGGGGTTGTCGGGGCAGGGCTGGGAGGGGGCGGGGGGCGTGCACGTGAGGTCAAAAGTAAAAGAACAGAGCTTCCAGCGGCACCAGCCTTTTCCACCTCTCACAGCGGTGCATCCGGGGCGGGAGGCTCCGCTCCGAGGCTGGCGGGACCCTACCTCCTCCTCCTCCCCCCGCCCGTGGCCGGCGGCGGAGCTGGGGCAGCTCTGTCCGCACCAGCGGTTTGGGGGCGCTGCCTGGGAGTATGAGGGCGTGGCCAGCGGCCGGAGCCAGAGGCTCCTCATTGGCTGTCAGGTTGGGCCGTGGGAGGGGTTTGCGGCTGGGTCCCGCTAGGGCGCTCGCAGGCGGTGGGAGGCGGGGCCGGAGGGAGCCGGGCAGCCAATGGGCGCGCGTCCCCCGGAGCAGTTACAAAGGGCCGGAGCCAGGCCGCCGCGGCGGCAGGGGAGGTGGGGCGAGGCGAGGCTTGCCGAGGCGTAGCGGCGGCCGGGCCGGGCCGTGCCACAGGCGGGTGGCGGCGGGACGATGGAAGCGGCGGCCGCTGCTCCGCGTCGCCGGCTGCTTTTCCTTGTGTTGGCGGGCGCGGCGACGCTGTTCCCGAGGGCGACGGGTGAGCAGCGGTGGCGGCGGCGGGAGGGCGGGCGGGCGGGCGGGCGGCCGCGGGGCGCGCGGGCCGGGCCCGGCCTCTGGCTCGCTCTTGCTCTTTCTCAAACATGGCGCGGGGCCGGGGGCGCAGGTGGCGGTGCTGGGCCGGGCCGGGCTTTCCTGAGCCGGCGGGCTCCACGCGAGCCCGGGACGGGGCGCCGCGGCCAGGCGGGGCGGGGGGCGTGGGTCCGAGCGTGGGGCGTGGAGTGGGGGGGCGCAGGGGGCCGCGCCGGGGAGGAAGTCCGAGGCCGGCCCGCGCCGCGCTCTCCGGGGGGCGGTGACGTCGGGGGCGGGGGGCGGTTCGAGGTCGGGGCTGCCCGACGAGGGCGAGAGTGGGCCAGAGAGCCGGCTGGGGGCGAGGCCGGCGGGGCCGTTCCTCCGCCGGGCACCGTGTGGCCTTCTTCCGGGCTCCCCGCGCGGGTAGAGCGGCGGGGAGCGCGGGCGCCCGGAGTGGGCTCCGAGCCCGGAAGGCGTCCTGGGGCGGTGGGGACGGGGCGCCGTGGGCCGAGACCCCGGGTCGGCCGGGCTTGCCCTGGGCTGGGGCGCCCCGGGAGGAGGCGGCTTCCCCGGCCGGGGTGGAGGGTGGTGAGGGGCTCCGGGAGCTTTTTGTGTGAGGTGAGCGGGACGTTCCCGGCGCTTCTCCGTCTGGAGGGGTTGGAGGGAGTCCCGGGACCCTTAGGACGCCTTCGCGGGTCGTCTTCGCCGCGAGAAAACAAAAAACGGAAACGTGAGCGCGGGTTTTCCTGCGGTCGGGGAATGCGTGAATGGGAACGATTCCGTGGGTTTCCTCGAAGGATGGACACGCATTCCTGGGGACGTGTCTTTTCCCCGAGTGACAGTTGTTGCGGGGGACAGATGTGCTCCGCGTAGCTGCTTTCCACAATGTCAACTCGGGTTGGAATCGGTGGTTGTCAGTTTACTCCGGCGAAGGAAGGAGTGGAAAGCTTGGTTAGCAACAGAATCAGACTCCCAGGCACCGAAATGTTGAGCGACAGCACTGGCAACCCAAACCTGAAGTTCGTTTGTGTCAGAAGCTGCACAGCAAATGTTAAAACAACAGCAGCAACACGCGCAGAACACCCCACATCCTTTCAGCGCCTGGATGCCAGTTAATCCTCATAGCTACTGTTTATTAAGAACTTACATAATGTAAGTATAGAAAACACACCTAAGTGCATTATTCGACTCCCCCACAACGAATCAGTCAGGGCTCCTGGCAGGTGCCCTCTTTATAGATGTAAAAGCTGAGGTACTGAGTTAGGGCTGTTTCTCAAACCTCTACACTTGATACATACACCTAAGCAGCATAGCCCACTTTTCCTTTTCAGTCATCTGATGAGCACTTGATACTGACTGCTCACTTTCAGGTTTTGCTCTAACAACACACATTTCAGATTGGCGTGTTCTGGTTCCTGGAATATTCTTGAGCTCTGAGGCCTGCATTAGGGAAAATAAGGGTGTTTTAACCTTGGCCTGAAGAGAGAGGCAAGATAACTACGTGCTCAGGTGGGAGAATACATATAATTATGTATCAAACATAAGTAACGTTTTCACAGCATTACTTGAGTAGGGTGGTTTATTATTTTCCACCTAGGTTAAGAAGTGTTCTTGCATTTAAGTAACAGTACTGACATGGATGCTCAGAGCATGGCTTAGTCTACGTGGGTGCTCTGAAGGAGCATGCAGTCTGCTTGGGCACACGCACCCTACAAAGCTGGTGTCGATGCTTTGTGACTGAAAGCCTGGGCCATCACCTTGTTTGCTTGCCCAGGTTGGTTATATTGATATTTCAGCCCATCCTTTCATACAGTCTAAAGAAGCTCATTCTTTCCTCTATAACTTAGCTTTTCTTGAACAACTTGATGTTTGTTGTTCCTTTTACTCTGAGAATTAGTTGTGGGTTTTTAAAAATTTAGTTGTACAGAGGGGTTACAGTTACATAAGTAAGGTAATGGGTACATTTCTTGTGGAACAGTGTTACTTCTTCCCTCCTTTTCTTCCACTTCCCCGTTCCACTTCCCTCCCCCTCCGAAGTTGTAACGTTCATTTCCAACATTGTGTCTTCTGAGGATCACTGTTGCATTGGCTCACCCTTTGCCCTACGTCTCCGTTTCTGTGGTTCCTCTTCCCATCCCCCAAATCAGATAAACGTATATACAAGGCACAGGGTACCTGTGTCTTTTGGTTCCTTTACCGGAGCTTGAATTGGGCCTAAGCCCTCTCTCTTAGCTTTTTTTGCTCAAGGCTGGCTTCCTAGCATTTGAGCCACACCTCCCACTTCTGGCTTTTTGGCCATTAATTGGAGATAAGTGTCTCAGTTACTTTTCTGCCTAGGCTGGCTTTCAATTTCGACCCTCAGATCTCAGGTAGGATTAGAGGCACCCTGATCTGTGTTTGCTTTCTCTTCTGTATTTGCTTTCTCTCCAACATAAATTTTCTATGGAAAATGTTCCTTTGCCTCTGGTATACGGTTTAGTACTACTTCCTCTATAAATATTCTGTGTGACAGTACTGTTTACTTTTATTTGTATTTGTTTGTTCTATAACTTTTTCTTTTGAAAAAAAACCTAAAATCCCACTCTTCCTGGATGTGCAGCTATTACTTTTGTCCTGCCTGTTTTGCTCCAAATCTAGTTGTTTTTGAGTGTTTCTTTTTCCTTTCCATTCTATTTATTTTGTGTGTGTGGGTGTGTTGTGCATACCAGTACTGGAGTTTTGAACTCCACTTCTGGCTTTTTGCTGGTTAATTGGAAATAAGAGTTTTGAGGTTTTATCTGGCTGACTGGCTTCAAATTGAGATCCTCAGATTTCAGCCTCCTGAGTAACTAAGGCTATAGGCATGAGACACACTGGTGTCCAGCAAGTGTTTTTGTTGTTGTTGTTGTTTGTTTTTTATAATCATCTAGGCCTTTCTTTTTTTTGTCGGTCGTGGGGCTTGAACTCTGGACCTGGGCGCTGTCCCTTAGCTCTTCAGCTCAAGGCGAGCGCTCTACCACTTGAGCTACAGCGCCACTTCCGGTTTTCTGGTGGTTTATTGGAGATAGGAGTCTCACGGTCTCTCCTGCCTGGGCTGGCTTTGATCCGAGATCCTCAGATCTCAGCCTCCTGAGTAGCTAGGATTACAGGCATGAGCCACCAGCGCCCGGCTTCCTCTAGGCCTTTCTATGAACTATTGCCAAGCTTATCTTCCTGGATTATCCCTGTAAAGGTTTATAAGAATTCCCATTTGTAGTTACCATTCAGAACAGCACTTGAAGTTTATGATTAGGGTCACCTTCAGATATTGAACCAGGTATCTCACTTTTTATTACTGTAACCTCTCACTTCTAGTGATTTCTCTTCCCCATTGAGTCTTGACTGTTCAGCTTTTTCTGTACATATATAATTTTACCCCTTTGGTTGCTTGAGAACAGTAGTTATCAGTCCTGAGTTCTATCCTATAGAAGTTTAGTTCTATTTGAACTCTTTACTTTCCTAAACTGTATAGCACTTCTACTTGTGTTGTCCATTTCTACCATCTTGCACTGTTATTTAATGGTATTAGAGTTTATTTTAGGTACCCAGAGGGCAAGAGTCATGGCTTTCTTTCATAGCCTTAGAACCTAGCAAATATTCTATTCTACATAAAAGTTATTGATTAAATGACTAAGCAGTCCTATGGTTTTTATGTTATTGAGTGGTAATTTATAATACTGCATATATATAGTCAGGAAAAGTTGCAAGGTATTGTAAAAGGATCAGTTGATTATTTAACTTAGTTATTAGTCCCAACTTCACCACTAGATATACAGACAGTATGTGATATCTACTTGGCCTAACTTGTAAGATTGTGAGATCAAATTAGTGTATATTTGAGTTTGAGTTTGCCATTTTGTGTTGCTAGCAATTAATAGGACTAATAGTCAACCAGCAATTTCCATTGGATTCCTTGTGTTTTGATTGGTTAGAATCCTGGTAATGCCAGTTAAGTACTTTTAATACTTCTATAGAGACATTAGTATTCAAAGAGGCAAGCAATTAGTATAGGCAAAGGTGATGGGGTAGGTTTCCTGGACACTTTCATATTTAAACTGACTTTGAAAAGGTGTCTAGAATTCAGACTGACAGAGAGCAAAATATGATGAGTATTAAAAATTTAATTGTGTTCTCAACTGTCCTGGGATCTACTCCAGGCCAGAAATCAAAGCTTTTAGTGGTAAGTTTCTCTTTAGAATTAGGTTCCTCATTCTGCATATACTTTGGGGGTTGGATGTATAAACTCCTATCACTTTTCCCCATTACTAAAAACTATAACATGTATCTGACAAAAAAACAAAATAAGTGGGCTAAGGGAGGGAGAATAACATACTGCTGGGCATTCTAATGGTGAAAGGCATAGGTGTATCATTACTTCAGTTTATAGATGGAAAAATAGAAAGATTAGGTGAATGGCTTAGGGTCCAATAAGGGCCAAACTGAGACAGGAACTTTGATTTTCTAATTTGAAATCTTGTGACCTATATGGTACTTTAAAGTGTGAAGGCTTAGAATGACTTCCTAAGTGAAGTAGATCTTAAATTCTATAGAATTTTTGAAAAGACAATTCTACAGTAGGTAGGAGAATGATCAGAGATTAAAAATCCTCTAGTGAGCTGGGTGCTGGTGGCTCATTGTGTAATCCTAGCTAGCGAAGAGGCTGAAATTTGAGGATCATGGCTCAAAGCCAGCCTGAGTAGAAAAGTCCATGAAGCTCTTAAGTCTAATAAACTCAGAAAAAGCTGGAAGTGATGCTGTGGCTCAAGTGATGGAGCACTAGCCTTGAGCAAAAAACTCAGAAACAGCACCTAGGCCCCAAGTTCAAGTCCCAGGACCTGCAACAAAAAAACAAACAACAACAACAACAACAAATACTCTAGTGAAAGGCCAGTGTCTATTGTTACCCATAAAAAGATTTAGTACAGTACTTACTTGTTGATTGAGAAGAAT